AGCGTTGTAAGTCCGCAGATATACCGCTGTGCCACTGGGGGGGGGGGTATTAAAAATGTGTCATACTTGTTGAAAATTAAAATAACAGTGGCACGCAAGTAATGTTTTTTTTTTCAGTTAATATAAGTTGAATCTCACTATTCTTTGTAAATAAACTTATAGTAGATAGGAGCTTAATCCCTGTAAACAGAATCTTGATTGGACTTCACAGATCAAGCCTTATTATCCCTGTAAACAGACCTGTTTCATTACAGAGTATTGACTAATTTCACGATACTTAGTAGATATACCTTTCCTGTCAACATTTAGCAGATCAGATCTTCCTACCCCCTTTAAACAGACCAGTTCATTACAAAATACTAATTGGACATCACAGCTCAGGCCTTATTTATTATCCTTGCAAATAAACCCGATTCTTTACAAGTTTACTGACTGGACTTCACTATACTTAGTAACTATACCTTGCCTGTCATCATTTAGCAAACAGGGCCTTTATGCCCTTATCCCTGTGAACAGACCTAATTTGTTAGAAATTACTAACTGGACTTGAGTACACTTAGTAACTATACCTTGCCTGTCATCATTTAGCAAACAAGGCCTTTATACCCTTATCCCTGTGAACAGACCTAATTTGTTAGAAATTACTAACTGGATTTGAGTACACTTAGTAACTATACCTTTCCTGTCAACGTTTGGCATATCATACCTTATTATCTCTGTAAAACAAACATAATTCATTATAGAATATTGATTGGCCTCACTATATGCTGTCAACTTCTAGCAGTGTAGTCCTTATTGCTCATGTAAACATGTAATTGTGTAAGTTGGATTCCGCATAACCCGAATAATACAGTCATTGTATTCTGCTTATCTCCAATCGCAATATGAAAGAGGGCGCTGGATTCCCCGAGTTAGATTTCGCTAGACGTTATAGCTGTATCGTTACTGTCAACGTCTACCCCAAAACCCTGGTTCGTGCCAATACGCTGCACGAACTTCATCATAGTATTTGTAAATAATATTTCCAGTCAATTTTAAGCAGATCAGGCTTTACTGACCTAAATAAGCAATTTTACCCACATATCGAGTATATTACTGACTGTTTTTTCTGAACATTATTCCCCGTCAGCGGTGTATATTAATTAGGATCATTGTTTTTTAATAATCCTTTTTAAATACATTAATGAAATTCGAGTAATTTTTATTTCAATTAACTTTATGTACCATAGGTTATTCAATACACCCTGCAATTAATTTTCTCCTCCTTACATTTCCTCAGACACCAGTATTTTGTTGCTGATTGTGGTTTCGAATCTAGAAGATTCACAAAATTACAGTTTGCAGGTACACGTATATCCCACGATCTTTCATCATCAGCCGAGTAGGGAGTTCTTTAATTTTTTCCCTTCTCATTTCATAGTTTATTTGATTTTTAGATAGAATGCTACATTGTACGTACACAGATTTGCAAAAATATTTCTTTTTCTAATGGTATAAAATTTTGTACTTACGTAGACGTTCCCAACGTTCTTCAGAGAAATCATCTGAAATCTTATTTTCAGGAAGATAGTAGTTGATATTCATACATTCTGTCTGAACGGGAGACACATAGGTCGAAACTGGAAGAAAAAAAAGAAATCGTTTGCATTTGGTTTTCACCCAAAAACACTCGCCGATTCTTTAAAATAAAATCACATATTATAACTTTGTCAAACATATATTTCTAGTTATAATAGGGGTGGGTGGGTGTGGTTTCGTCTGAGTGAAATATCGATTAGGCCAATCTTAAATAAGAATAAAATATCAATAGCTTTAATCGCACTGCATGCTCAGAAGGTTTTTATGGGTGCCCCCTTTTATGTAGGTTGCAATGAGCTTGTTCAAATATATTTTAATGGCTGAGGCTGGCGAAAATGCTAACTGATTAATATTTTAATATGCGAGTACTATTTTGGGAGAACAGCGTAGCCTACACAATAGTTAGTCCACTGAAATTAATCTTCCTCTATAATATTGGTCATACTTCCCCTCAAATTTCAGAGTATCGGGATTCTATTTTTTAACAAATGAAAAAAATATTAGATTCATTACAAAAAAAAAGATATTGTGAAAATCTGCCTTGCCAAATAAAATATAATAAATACTTGAAACAGTCGGTAGGTGGCGAAACTCTATAATTACAGCATTGAGGAAAACAAAAACAACTGCACATTTCACAAATATTTCATTTAATACGACTACGATTCGCCAGTAAAGGCATCATCAGATACCGTTGTCGTACTAAATTAAATATTTGTGAAATATACAGTTTTCTATTTTCCTCAATGATACCATATGAAATAAAAAATATATTTTACATGGTCTCATAGTTTGGAAAGGTGCTGTTCTGACAAAGTGAATTGTTAGCTAGAAATTGCTTCAATAAACTTGATTTCCTCAGTTTCTCGGAATACTTTAAAAACTATTGTTGCTACAAGAGAAGAAAAGGGTGACAGGAATATATTTTTGTAAATTTTTCTTCTCCTCACTAAAATGTGTAATTTCAGTGAAGAAAAAAAATCCATGAATGACCTCAGGCCTAATCTATTCTTCAATTCGCAGCTCCGTCTACAGTAGACTAATTCGCCAAATGAGCGGCTCATCAGCACTGCTTAGAAAAGCAAATCAAACAAGTACAGTAAGCCTCTTATGGTAATAGAATGCAAACAATTTTCAGGATTTAATGTAAAGTCGTATACTTATCACTAATACCATATATTAATTTATTTTTCACTCAAAATAGTTTAAATTAAATTATCCACAATAAATTGAAAAACAAAATTCCAATTATTTGATAAAATCTGGTAAGGTGAGTCACAGTTATATTTTACAATAAAATAGTTTATGTTTAGTACTAAAGCTAGTAGATAAATAACAATTATATGATCGTTAGAATAAGATGAAGATTAAATCAAAAAAAAAAAACTTTCACTCTAAATTGGGAGTATCAAATTATATCAAGCTTGAACACTGAGTATTGGTGAAACAATTTTATTTCTCATTCTCTAAAGTTGTTGAAAAAAGTTAATGAAATACATAATATAACCGATATAAAATACCACCCTTTTATCGGCAACTTTTACAAAGATTTCCTGCATTAATATAATGCTGTAACGTTGTTCTTTCGTTGGCGGAGTCTTTTAATTTAATTTATCTGGTGAAAATAATTCAACGTTCAATCCACATTACAAGAACAAATTATTTCCCCTTTAACGTGTCTACAAGCTTGAACACTTTTACACTGCTGTGAATTGTTGTTGGCCTATGCTAAAAATGACGTTCAAAGCTTTCTAACAGTAGTGAGCCTAGTGTAAAATCAACTGAATTGTAGAAAGTAACTAAATGAGAGCGGTGGCAACACATTGACTGATTTGACTCTCTACATACTTGACAACTATCTCGTATTTATAATGTAGCTTCGAATATATGAGAAAAATTTGACGCCAACTTAGAACTTTCTAGGCCTATCTTAACAATACGCGCATTCTAGCAAGCATACAAATAACAACATTAAGGTATAGCTTACAACAATAAATAGCTGTAATATTACACCTGTTAGTCCATCATAGTTCACCGATTTACCTAACATTTATTTATCTAATACTAGCAGGCGTATATTATATATATATATACCGATATACCATTATCGGTCCTGGTTGTCAACTTATTGTCATAACGGATAATGTCTGTGGTATTAGCACCCAAATGCATTGGGGATATCCCATCTATCAGACAAAATCCAAACGCCCATTGTTTCCTTATTTTGGAATATTCTGTTACCCTCTTATACTGCTTAATAGCCTAGCTAGCAACTAATCGGTTAATTAAAATTTGCTACATTAATATATTTAAAAAAATGTACTTGCAAAAGTTCTAGATGTTTAACTTATCAGGCAGCCATGTATTTTCAACATGTACGACAAAATGTACCACTATGTTAAGTAGATAATATAATTTATTTATTAACTTGTGGTATATGTGGACTTAAATATATAGGACAAAACTAATCCTTTACATCTAAGGATTAACCTACATAGATCACAAAGTAATAAGGGGTTTCCTCATTCAATAGAAATAAATCATTTTAATAAACATTCATTTAATAATGTAAAAATTACTATATTAGAAACAAATCTACATTACAAATTTCTTAACAGAAAGAGAAGAATATCACATTCTTAAAGAAAAAAGCTCTCTACCCTTATAGATTAAATCAGGACTTTCAAAATAAAACTGCTGAAGTTATAAGTAAAAATTCCTGTATCAGAAATACATTTCAACTAAATATTTGTAGAGGTAAACAAAATAAAAATTGGGGGTAAAGGTAAAAACAGAAAGAAATGGATTGATTTTAAAAGTTTTTGTAAACATTTGGATTCTGTATTTGACAGACCTGTTAATCTGGCGAAATTTATAATAAAACAAGTATTTGAATTAATAAATGCAAAACTCAAATATCTGTAAAGATATTTGTTAAACTTTGAGTTTAAAAATATCAATGTTAAAGACTTAATTATAGATTTAATTAAATTTAGATTAAAAAGGAATCGTATATCTATACTCCCTTCAGTAAAGAAAAGGGAGAAATCTTATATAGTATTTTTAACATCAAGTTTATGATGATTTATATTTACCTTCCTTGATCCATAAAAGTATTCAATAAGATATTTTTTCCATAAAATCGTTTCAACTGGTAGTCAGTTTGAAATATAATAAATTTATAGGACCTCTTCTCTTTAACTATAAAAAAGTTTAATCAAATAGAAGTTGACAACTTACCTTGTAACTCTGATAATAGTGTTTTTAAAGGTATCTTTCATAATCATATAGTTACAGGAAATTAAGAAATTGTTAAAGATAAAGAATTACAATCAATATTAAAGAAAGGTACTAAATATAGAATTTAAAACACACACAAATTAAATCTTAAAAGACTTAGAAAAAAATATTGATGATTATATTATTGAAATAAGTTGTAACGAATTTATTGTTATGTGTTTATTTTTAATATGAACGTTGTTTAGATTAAATTTGCATTTAAAAATATGAGTAACTTATAGTGTCAGATATGTATTGCGTGTAACGAATTTGTTATATATTTATTTTAATGACAACGTTTGGTGGGATTGAGTTTATATGTAATAACATGCCTAGCTTACAGTGTTAGTTACGTATGGCGAAACTCCCGCAAATTATCCAAGGTTGTAGAATATTCGTGAACGCAAGAATCGACAATATAACCGGTTAAATATAGTTCAGTATTGTTGTCCGAACCTTCGAGAAAAATATTTCCTGCACATATAAAAAGACCAAGGCCAAAGAAGAGAGCAGATAAGTCTGCTAGGAACTTGTTATAAACCGTGATTTTGCTAACCCCTATCAACCGGAATATATTACCGGATTCTTATCAGACGTTAGTATCTTTCCGAAAATATTACTGAATTCTCATCTGACATTAGTGGTTTTATGAAAATATTATCTTACTTCGACGGTCCAACAATTCAATGTCTGACAAAGCTAGCTAGCTTCTAGGCAATTGTACGTACATCGACTTCAAGTTAACTCGCTGGATATCAAGGAGACTCTGAACTAGAAAGAAGATTTTGTGTTGTTTGTAAGTTAGTGAAATTTTTGTTTTATAAAACTTTGCTTGTGGTAACTATTCGTAATAATTGTTGTAAATTTGTGTGAAAAAGGAAGACAGTGTGTGTCAATCTTGTTGGCAAATAGCGTATATTAACTAAAATATCGGCTTCGGGCTACTTTAACGTATTTTTCGGTAAATAAGACGCACCCTTATTTT